TTCTCCAGCACCACAGCTCAAAAGCATCCACTCTCCTTCTGTCCTCCTTAGTCATTGTCCAACTCTCTGATGCATAACAAGCGATTGCAAATACCATGTCCTGTATCAGGCGCACCTTAGTCTCCAGAGAGACACTGTTGCTCCTGAGTACCTTTAAGAGGTCCCCTGTAATACTTAGTGAAGAAAATTCTCAATCTCACCTACTACGTGAGTTCAAGCTGCCTCACCTTCGTGGGTCAAGTGGTGTCCAGCCAACACAAAGGCAGCTGATTAGAACCCACATGATGGGGAAAGATTGGCATTGTCCCCCCTTGCAGTGTATAGCCTCTGTAAATCTGCAGGAGTTTCAGCTGTGACTCGCTTCTTGTACGATGGCTTATAACTCCACCACACAGTCATGAAACTGTGTGACCATCTCTCTCCTAGAAATGGGAGTTTCTGGGCACAGGGTATTTGTATGGTAAAAGTTTGAGGCACGTCTGAATTTTCCACACAGAGGCTGTGACATTTATCAGTCCCCATTGGTGATACATATTTACTTTGGTTCTTGATATTTTCTGCTTTTTCTCATAAATGAGAGCCACAGTTGACGGGCGTAGGAGCTTGTTATGGTCCAGTTAAGGAAAGGTGTGAGGAGGCCTCAAATCTGAGATGGTTTGTGGATCAGAAAGAGGGTGGACTGGTGTCCTGTAAATGCTCGCGGGCCATCTGTTGATAGAATGCTTGTTTCTTGAATGACAGGACAGACATCAGCGGATGCGTCTCTTCCATTATTGTCCTGGTGGATCCTGTGAAAACACTTGGATTTTCATATCAGTACTTTTCAAGTGTGGTTTGAGGTTCTGCCTTTTTGACAAAGGTCCTCGCTGGTGCTGCAAATACCATGCGTAGGAGTTCAGATGTCAACTGATTTTAAAAAATTGATGTGACAGATGAGAAGAGTAATGCTTCCTGGGAAATCAGTGGTATAATGATCATAAATGACAGAATATTGATGGTGAGAATCAGAAAGGAATGATGAGGGTTGTAGAGGAGGGGGATCTTTGGTAGAAAAGAGTGGAAATCACTGAGGCTCCTTGGAGAAAACTCTGTTGTCGGGAATATTTGCAACATACTGAAGAGCAACGATGTCAGTCTGGAGACTAAGGTGCCCCTGATTCGGGCCACGTTTTCCTCAATGACTCGCTGTGCATCGTAAGTGACCAGGGGTGATGGAGGAGAAAGGATGCTTTTGAGCTGTGGTACTGGAGAAGAATATACCACAGACTGGTAAGAGAACTAAGAACCTAGAGAGGGTGAAACCAGGCTGCTCTTTGGAGGCAAGGGTCCTGAACCTCTGTCTGACATACTTGAGCAGGTTGCAAGGAGGGACCAGTCCTTGGAGAGGGTCATTATGCTTGGCAGGGTGGAGGGACAATGCAAGAGAGAGCAAGACCCTGGATGAGCTGGATGGACTCAGTGACTGCTGTAAAGTGGGTAGTGGTGTACGAGACAATAAGATTGGCTCAGGATAGAAAAAGGTTCAGAGCTGTTGGACATAGAGGTCATTAAGAGTCATAGATGACTTGATGGCATATAACAACAACATGATAAACAGCAGTTTGTTCTTAAGAAGTGTCAGGTCAGCATGCTCCAAAATGCTTGGCTTGCTATACAAGCCCATGATTTCTGACACGACTATCTCCTTTGTTTAGTTTCCCAATTCCTTTATGTCCCTTGGTTTCCGTGACTCACTAGAAGATCTCTCAAAGACTCAGACCTGTTAGGGGAATGACCCATATGCTTGTAGGTAGCAGGCTGGTTTTTACAGAATCTTCTGAGTCATGTGCCAAGATCTTGTAGACTGTCTGCAAAAGCATGGCTGGATGGTGCGACACTGGAAGAAACTATGCCCCTGGAGACCAATCTTCTGCCAAGGAAAAATAGTGCCTAGTGCTGCTGAGGTTTCTTGAGATTAAAAAACCACTAGTAGAAGGGGGCTTGGATCTCATCCTACTTCTCTCTCTTTAATACAGTAATTAACTTTCGCACCACATAAAGAGTTATTCATGAGCTTAGTTAGACACCCAGACTGTCTGTCAATCCTGCAGAGTGGCTTCTTCTAGTACTATGTAACCTGCTCTGTCTTGGCCAGCTGAAACCATGCTAGAAGGAGAAAAGATTGAAGGTGTCAACAATTTCATTTCATTTTAGTTTGCTTATGAATGAACACTTACATTTTTTTAACATTAAAAAAATCCATACACTGTTGCATGTTTGTCGCTCTCTACCCCATTCTTTCATTTTACTTGGATTTTTTTTTTAATTTTACTTGGATTTATAAGACCATCAGTCAAGAAATCAAATGACATGGGGGAAAATCTGCTGTCCAGGACCTCTCCAAAGTCCTAAAGAGCCAGGATGTCTGTTTAAAGAGCAATGTGTGTGCCATCCAAGCTATAGTCTTTTCCATGGCTTCCTGTTCATCTCATAAAATAGTTCTTTATTTTTTTGTTATTTTTATTTTTTTAGGTTAGGAGAGGCGTACAGTCTGATACTGCAGCGTCGAGTTTATTTTCTTCTGTCCTTTTATCTTTTTAAAAAAATTATTATTAAATTTTATTAGTTTTCATGAACATTTACAGAGATTTTGGGTTTTCACAGAATGGCTCTTTAGAGTCAAGGATAAGAAGACCTGGTCTCATGTGTATGGGGTATATTTTCAGGAAGGTCAAGTCTTTGAAGAGAAACATAGTGGTAAATGTAGAAGGGTTCGCAAAAGACAGAAAGACTGTCAATAAGATGGATTGATGACTGCCACAGTGGGTTTGAACATGACAGAGGTCATGAAAATGGGCAGGATGAGGCAGAATTCACAACTATTGTCCAAAATGTTGCTACAAGTCATAGTGTGCCTGATGACACTCAACAAAAACATACAGATTTATTGTTTACATAAAAGTTTTTTGGGTTTTCCCCCCTCTCCTAGTGATGAACTCAGTTCCCGGCTCGAAAGGTGGCTAAGGGTAGGTAGTTAAATTATCTCTGTCACGCTGCTAAGTCTGATTTATTTTCCTAATATATTCTGTGCAACCTTTATCTCCCATTCTAAGCAGGATACTCTGTTGTCAGGGGAGTCCTTGGAATATCCAATACCCTTCTCCAACACCACAGCTTAAAGACATTATTATTTTTCTGTCATCCTTATAGACTGTTCAACTTTCAGATATGGAGCAAGAAATGGAATTGAATGGGATGCACCTTAGTCTTTAAATGGACATCATTGCTCCTTTGCCTTCTGGGAAGGTGCATGATATACTGTGGATGATCTTTGTTTTCCTATTTTACGGACATGCACTTTTCAGTGCATAGAAGCTAGGTTTTTCTCCTCGATTGTGTTACATCCTGCCACGTGGACTGCCACTTATAGGGACCCAAAAAGCTACAGATCTGAAATTTGCACTAGTCTGTGCCATTCTCACCATTTCTGATATATGCTCAGGTCCATTTCTAGTCATTGTGTCAGTCCATGACATCGAGGGTCGTCTTCAGAGCTAGTTACCTTTCCCAGCATGATGCCTTTTTCCAAAGACTTAAAAACAAGCTCAAAGAATAAGAAACTAACTGTCCCCACTTTCCCTCTAAGCTAAGTGAGAACCACGGAACCACGCAGTTCTGTGTCTGTGTTTCCGCACGGCCCCCATTCCGCAAGCTCCGGAAGCGGAAGTTGCTCGTGTCCCCCTCCGCAGGCGGGTCCGTGGTGGCTGCAGCGGGTGGTCAGCTGCTGTGTGTGTCTCGGGGCGTCCGCAGGTGAGTGTCCGCGGCGAATCGGCGTGGACAGAAGGGTGTGTGTCCTGCCCGCGTTGTGCGCGTGCCCTCGGAGCGTGTGAGCCCTGCAGAGACGGGGGGTCCCGGGGAGTGTGAGCGATGCAGGGTCCGGGGGTTCGCGGACACCCCGGGCTTCCTTCCCCCAGGCTCCAGATCCACCTGCCTCACAATCCATCCCGGGTTTTCTTACAGCTTCCAGCCCTCCTGTCAAAAGACGTGATTTAAAATAAAGAAAACAAAACAAATTTAAAAAAATCTTCTAGGATGCAAATCTGCAATCCAGATCTCTTCTTCTAAAGGAACTTTTATTATTTTATTCATTTTCTTGTATCCATTTAAAACCTCTGATGTTCAAAGATGGACCCCAGAACCTGTTCTTGCATCTAAAAAAAAAGTAAAATCTCCCATTTTGACATCAGTAACACAAGGATATTTATTTTTTAGTGTATTTTTTTACATCTCTAGTAGAATATTTATAATCAATTTATTAATTTGTGGCTTTTAATTTTTTAGTGTATTTTGTAAGCAGCATTGCTATGCATTTATTTGCAAGGTTTAAAAAGAATAATAAAAAAATGAACCTGCTTGTGTGTGTCAGCTCCCAGGTCTGTTCTTTTATTTTAAAAAAATACCCCATTTTTACATAAACATGTAGTAATAATTAGTAAGTAATTATAAAAAATAACCTCTGATGTTCAAAGATGGACCCCAGAACCTGTTATTGCATCTAACAAAAAAGTAAAATCTCCCATTTTGACATCAGTAACACAGGATATTGATTTTTTTAGTGTATTTTTTTACATCTCTAGTAGAATATTTATGATCAATTTATTAATTTGTGGTTTTTAATTTTTTAGTGTATTTTGCAAGCAGCATTGCTATGCATTTGCAAGGTTTAAAAATAATAATAAAAAACTGAACCTGCTTGTGTGTGTCAGCTCCCACGTCTGTTCTTTTATTTTAAAAAAGTCTCCCATTTTTACATAAACATGTAGTAATAATTAGTAAGTAATTATAAAAAATAAGTAGTAAGCAAATAAAAATTATTTTAGTAACCACCACTATTACCTATTTCCAAGGTTTTTTGGGGTTTGGTGATTTGGGATTTTTTTTTAGCATTCTGAGCAAACACTGGATTTTTTCTATTTTAACTGGGTATTTTTTTATTAATTTATTATAAATTTCAATGAAAATGTACAAAGACTTTGGATTTCCATTCATTCATTGTTGCAACAAGAAACTGGGTATTCATATAGATTAACCCTGTGTTCCTCCATCTGCCCCCGTCACCATATGTTTTATATATTCGTTTTCCTATTCTATCCCTTTCAATTTTATTTTTTTTAAGAAAACAAACAAACAAACGTATTTTTAGCTGTCATTTTAACAAAAATTTACTAAAATTTTTGTGGGTTTTTTTTTTATTTATTCGTTTTTGCACATTTTCCTCATACCCCTCGAATTCCCTTTTTTAAGAAAATAACAAAAACTCTGCAACAGTGAATGACTGGAAACCATAAGTCTCAGTAAACTTTCATTAAAATTAAAAAACCCTCAAAACAAAAATTCTTTCATTGTTGCATAATTAATAAGTAAACAGTGACTAATGAATAAATAATAAGTAAATGATAATTGTTTAAACCACAACCATGCTTAACCTACTTCCAAAGTTTTTGGGGTTTTTGCCTGTTTGGGACCTTTCTTTCTTTCTTAAAAAAATATTTTTTTAAATTACGATTTTAATGAAAGTTTACTGCACACTGGGGTTTTTTCATTCATTTCCCCCTGTTTCACTTTTACAAATAGTCTTCATTTTAATGAATGTTTACAGAGACTTTGGATTTCCATTCATACACTGTTGGATTATTCTCCCTGCTCACCCCTCCACCCCCTAGTTTGCTTTTCTCTTTCAAAAGTAAAATTCTTTCATTGTTAGACAATCCCATTTCACTTTTTTTAAAATAATTCATTCATTTTTGCACAATGTCCTCCCTCTGACTACCCCATCCTCAATCCACTTTGTAATGTGCCTCTTATTCTGAACTGTTGTCATACAAATAATACCTAATAGTATATTCCTTTTAAACAGTATTTTCCATTATCTGTTCCAATGCAGTGTTCATTATCTATCCCCTCTTTT